TCATCATCACCCCCCCCCCCCCATACCTCCGGCTCCATCGCCGCTCCACCCAGGGTCCCGCCCGGCCCCATCTCCTCTGTCTGCTTTAGCTCGCCCACCCCACTTTCCTTTTACAGTCCCGCGAAAGTCACCTTCTCAAGGACACTGACCCAGCCAGATGCACTTCTGCAATTTCAAGGTGTTCCCCCCCAAAAAATTATATACTGGAAAGTTAATCTCCAAATTCATATGGTGTTTTCGGGTAGACGCTCAGAAGATAACTAAGCTGTGATGAGCTAAGGGAGTGGAGTTCCTTGAAAGCATGAATGGCTTTTTAAAATGGAAAAGAGGGAAAATGTTTCTTGTTGTATTGTTGTATCTTGGTGTGTGTGTGTGTGTATGTGTGTGTGTGTGTGTGTGTGTGTGTGCTGTCTTTCTGTGTTGCCGTGAAGCAAGAAGGCCCTCCCCAGAGGCTGAATGAGGTGCAAACAGTGCCACCTCTGACAAGCTCTTGGGCACCAAGCTCAGAAGGCAGTTAAACCTCTTCGTAGATTAATCAGCCTTAGACATTTCATTATAGCAACAAATAGTGAACTAAAAACAGTGTTCTATAAAACTGTACCCTAATCTCCTACCATGTAGTCTAAAACACTACTGCCTCCTGTTTTTATATTCCGTAGCCACTAGAAATTAATCGTCCCGGAGCTAAGGTGGCTTTCCCTGCATTGTCCCCTCCGTGTATATAATCCAGGGGACTTGGAACAATGAAGGAAGACAGGGGGGGGGCATGAAGGAGGGGGGATCATTAACAAAGATTAGATTTGTTAAACATCTAGGAAGAAACATAGGTTAGTGCTAATGGAGCAATTAAATTGAGATTTTTACTTGTTTTCAAAAATAAACAAGCATCTCTCGAGTGGGTGGGGGGCTTGATTTAAGGAGTACTTTGTTCTTTTCGGGTTGACATCGAGCAGCTCTGGGGCAAACGATGACAATTTAAAACCCGGCTCTTCAGCAGTAATGGCAACTCTGCTTCTGACCCCTTTTCTGAACTCTGGTATTTGTTTATCCAAGCGAATGGATTGACCCATTAGAACCAGGTATTTGGAAACCCATCTCAGAGTTGCACTTTGGAATCCATAGCTGCATTTAATCACTGCTATGATCGCTTAAGCACATGAAAATAACTTGCAAGAGGAAGCCGCCCTGTATTAAGCACAGCCTGGCAATGGAGTACAATGCTGTAAGATGAGCCTTCGGTCACCTATTTCCCAGCTGTTTTAGGTCTTGGAGTGGAGCCAGGCGTCCTGAAATACGTGTCCCTACAGGAGAGATCGTTGGCATCCTCTGGGAATACTCGGCTGGCTCCAAAGTGGCTAATCTCAGAACCTGGCCACAGGCACAGGAGGGATTTTTTTCCCCCATCATTCCAGGACACCATAGTTATGAAGGGAGACAAGACATGAGAAACAGGGAGAGGGATGTTAACCTTGGTTAAAGAGAGAAAAGCCACCTGGCACAGAAAACACAAGTCCCTTCCTTCATCCACAGGCACGACCTTGCCCTATCCCTCTCCGTGAACACTTGACACGGAGAATGATGACGAGCATTTTGAATTTGGATCCATTTTCTTCTCAGGGTTACCAGCCATCTTAATCTGCTTGTGGCTTCTATGTTTGAGGACACACCAATTTAAAAGCCTTTGCCGGTACTTAGTTTTTTAAAAAATACGTCTTAACAGTAGGCATTGCTTTCCCATTTAAAATAAATACCTGTGATCCTTGTAGAGAATTTATACTGTAGGGCATAAAGAAAACAATGAAATCAACAGTGTTCTCCCCTCCCCCATTAAGACTGTGACATTATTTCTTCTCCATTTTGTTTTCTCTGTGTGTACTTGTAGAGTGACTCTGGGTAACTATCAAAATTATCACCAGGTGTTTTCCTGACATGCCCAGGGGCCTATGGGCATTCTTGACAAGACCAATGGGTCAGTTCTCTTATTTGTCACCACGTTTCAGAGAGACAAACAGAAGTCTGTCACACCATAAACAGCTCATTTGGGGGGAAATTCCCGAGGAGTCCAGGAAGTCCAGCCTAAGGATGAGTGTCCCCCTACCTTGGTCCCTCCCGGCCTCTAGAAGGAAGCCTGCCTCCTTGTTAATCCCACAGATTAAAATGGAAGTTTTATCCGTGTATACGGGCTGTCTCTCCCTAAGGTGGGCTTCAAGATATGAGCACTTGAGCACTGGATATGGGGAAAACAAGGAATACATATATATATCTGGAGAGGCGGTTTCCAAAGGAGGGGATTTGGCAGGCAGATAGGCAGGATTACAGAAACAGAACGTAAGCATAACAAGTTGGACATAATAACCTCCTGAAACAAAGACACGGCCGGCCGCAAGTGGTCATAACAAGGCGGCCCTAACAACCTTTTAGAAACAAAGGTTTCCAGAAACGGGCAGTGGGGAATCATTTGAAGCACAGATTAGAGGTGAAACACAGCCCAGTCCTCGAGAGACAGATTTACTGTAAGGAGGAATGGCGCTTGTTTGTCGAGCCCAAGATGGAGGCTGGCTGTTTTATCACCCTTCCCAGGCTGGGCTACTGCTCAGGCCTGGCAGCTGGGGCCCCGTCTTCCCCTTCACTGTGTGTTCCTCTTTCCAACTGCCCATGAGCCACACTCAGCTTTGATCCAGGGAAGCCTCTTGCACTGGGGTAGCTTAGGGAAAGAGGGGCCTGACATCTGCCGTTAGTTCCTGGCACAACTGTAATCCTGACTGGATACCAAGGGCAAACCGTGGATGGGTGGGTGGGGTTAGGAGCTAGAGTACTGGAGAAGGCTTCTCAGCAGCGTCCAAACATCTGAACAGGCAGTGGGTGAATATCCTGGGGGGCAGGTAACGGGGAAGGGAGATAATTTAAAGTTAATAAAGCTGGAAATAAACAAGCCAAGCTTTGCATATTTATTATGATTTTAAGATGTTTAACCCTTAAAAGTATAGAAAATAAAGTTGTGGATGTCTCAAATATGTCATATGCTACCTCAACTTAAAATACTAGCATTAAGAATATTTTACATATATTCTAAGATATGTACAAAAATTTTTAATGAATGACATAAAAATATATAATGTGCATATATGTGTATGTACATGTAAATTCTTCTATATAAAGAATATAGATGTGTTATGTGTCAGCATATTTGTATGTATGTATAAATACACACACACACATAAGTGCGGGGTCTATTTTTATACACATGTAACAAGTACACAAATGCTAGTGTCCTCTGCATTTCCGAATATATTCCTATATAGCCACTTTTGAAAACTACTACGTGAAGAAAACAGTTTCCCTTTTAAAGATGGCAAAACTGAACACCAGCATCCTTGACACAGTGGAAGAGAACCCTTGCACACAGCACGCTTGAACTGTCCAAACAGCAACCAATGCCACGAGAAAACCAGCAAGCAAAATGTATAGAAGATGTGTACATATGTAGAATATACAAGCAAACAAGGAAGGTTATGCGTATTTCGGATCTGTGCGACCTACATGAGACAGAAGCCTCTTTCGTTCAGAGACACACTGGTGTTGTGGGAAGCCTATGAAAGGCAATTGACAGGGGTGGACCAGGCGTCTCTGGGGACAGAATTACTGGCTTGAAAGATCGTGAGAAGACATGGTCTTGAGAGTGAAAATCCACATGAATGTATAGCACCGGCACCAGGTGACCTGAGAGAGAACATTGCTGGGTTTCTATCTGCACCTGCTTTTTTTTTTTTCAATAAGGTTCCTCTCAGTAAACCTCTTCAAATCATTCTTCTCCAGATTTTGCTGCCCAGAAAAAAAAATTATAAATATTTTTGCCAGTAACCTCCTTCCTTCCCCTGAGGACATTTTCGTCATGGGGGGAGGGTTTAAAGGGCACATGCACCCTGCTGTGTGGTACCTCTGCCTCTCAAGTCTGCAGGAGAGGGACAGTGTCACAGGCTGAACAAGTCTGGGCATTCTACATGGCGATCTTCAACCCCAACCGCCAATTACAACCCTCGTCTTCTCTTGCTGTTTGTCTTCCTTTGCTCCCCAGTGAGTACAGTCTAAGACTTAGTCCTTTCTGTCTCCCGCTGTGTCAGAGTTCACTGAGAATGGCTACCTGTACTGGGTTTTACTAGCCTCCCCCCCAGGGTAAGGAAAAACAATGACATCCCATGGATGAGCATGACCTCCATCAAACGTCAGGGAACTTTCCTAAGGCATGTCCACGGTGGGCACCTGGACGGATGATGCCTTCCCCTCTACACATTCAGGGTATTCTTCTCTTGCTTCTAACTGGCTCTAATTGCTCTAACTTCCTGCCTCCCGGTAAATGAGTTTTCCACCCAGAGACCACATGACCCTCCAGGGCAGCACTGCAGCCCGTGTTATCTTGTCAGCAGTCATGAGTGGCTTATTTTACCATGACCTGGACCTCTGTCTTCTACAGTGCCATTTCCATTTGAAACTTCCTTCCTGTGCTGTGTGATCTCATTCCATCTCTCTTGGATTCACTCTATGCAGAGAAGATCTAGTGATAGAAACATCTGGCAAACTTTGGCCAAGGAAAAGACAGGATTTCAGTCAGCTCTATCAGTGGGTTCCCACATCAGTGGAGTCAACCAACCACAGATAGAGCTATTTGCAAAGAAACTGCATCTGTACCAAATGTGTTCAGAGTTTTTTTCCCCTTGTCTTTGTTCTGGAAACAACACAGCACAACAACTATTTACACAGTTGCACTAGGCTTTATAAATAGCCTAGGGAGGAGCTGAAGAGAGGATGTGTGGAAATGTGTATTGTGCCATCCTGGAGGACAGACGTCAGCCTTTGAAGCCTGTGGGAAATCCTGCATGAGTCCTCTGTGATACTGAGAATTATGTGTAGGGACTCATCCTTTTGTTTAGTTTACCATATAGAACAGCTTCATCTGTGACAGAACTCCTGTGTTCTATCTCAGCACAAAGCAAACATCATACAAGCATTCCAAGAACCCCTGGTCCTGGGCCCTGCTCTAGATGAGGGAATAAAGAGTTGCCTGAAGACTTGGCTTTCCAGGTTGGTATCTAAGAGCCTAGAGAGGCCTTTACCTACCCCAGTCCTTAGAAGTGGCATCCAAGAGAGATGTATTCCTGTGCGTTACTCATAATAGTATATGCCAAACCTAAAATTTGTGCTCAGAGGCACTGCGAATAGAATATGGAGTGTTCAAAAATATAATAACCAAAGAGAAAAAATATTAAAACGTTACTTGACGTTGGACCCTCTGCTAACATTAATCATTTTCATTTAACTTCTTTTTTTTAACTTCCTTTTAGATGGGTGGTATTTTGTCTGCATGTATGAGTACCAACTGTGTGCAGTACCTGCAGAGGCCAGAGGAGGGCATTAGATTTCCCTGGGGGCAGAGCGTCAGAGCACACAGAAAGTGAACCTTCCTGTGGGTGCTAGGAATTAACCCCCGGTCCTATGCAAGAGCAGCCAGTGCCTTTTTTTTCAACCCATGAGCTGCCTCGAAAGCCTCAGTCATCCTCACTCAAGTGAGAATTAGCTTTCTTATGTGAACTCTCTTCAGGTGGGTGCACTTTGGGAAAGGACTTCTGTTAGCTAATTAAAAATAACTGTGAAGCATAGAGCTTTGCCCCCAGCAAGCTAGCTGTGGCTGAACGTACGGGCATCAGACTGATATCACGGTCAGAGGGTCAGGTGGGAGGATTCAGTCATGAGCAAACTGTGCTGTACAGGGAACCTGGAGGCTTCCCTCAGGATCATAGTGTCAGAGTCAGGAGACCCGTCACTGTGAGAGGGAAGACTCAGTCCTCCTGTCCACCGTCTCAGTGTGTGTGCTGTTCGCAAGGTATTTCTTTCCCTTCAACCGTGTTGTTTACTGATTTAAGAGGGAAGTTTTATATCCCCTTACAAGAAAAAGAAGCAGGGAACCTGGTGAGGGATTATCGAAAGGACAGCAGTCTTGCTGGCCCCGCCTAGGGACGGAGCCTCAGAAATACTGTTTATGAGATTATGTGGGGCTCTTGAAAATCCAAAGAAGTCTTACTTTGACAAAACGTTTTTCCATCATCTGGTTAGAATTTCTGGGCCGGTGAGCTCAGATATACTGTTTCCTGTGCAGCCTTTCTGCGAGCCGCTGGCGCGGCGGCAGAGGAGAGGTCATTATTCAGCAGGATTCAGGAATGAGACGCAATTATGGGGCCTGGGCATGGGGACAGATGATATCTCATCCACAGCCAGGGAGCACAGAAGGCTGCTTGTCTGCCGTTGGGAGCCGCTGATTAGATGTGACCTGTGTGTCTTCTAAGTGACTTTTCAGGTGCTCTCCTGTCTTTAGAAAGAAGCCATTGTGGCCCTAACAAAGCAGAGAGACTGCTGCCCTTGGTGGGATGAATTTTCCGGATGGACACTGAACTTCTTTTTTGCAGACATGTGCACATACACACACACACATACATACACACACACCTCCCAAGGCCTCCTATCTGGTGCCAGGGGAGAGGCCTCTGAGACCTGAGGAGGCTCTGGAGCTGGGTGGAGGATCTGCACACTTCAGTTTCTCCTTAGCGTTGGGGACGGGGCGTATTCGGAAACTGCCCTGGAATTCGGGTGAGGTGCCTGGGTCTCACATGTGCTTTCTTTGGCCTAATCTGCCTAATTGAGACCTGCTTTCTGGCTGGCTGCCAGCGTTCACAGCACATGTGGGCACCAGACTGGCTTACCTCTATTTCTGTCGACTGAGTGATGCCATACGGCCCACCCCAGCCTCCTGCCCTGCGGGAGTCACGTGTCCAGCCAGTTTGCTTGGAAAAAATGAATTGAAATTTGTAGTGCACAAATATAAGGAGTAGGTGCCCTGTTTCTACGCCTATGGCTGTGCTCCACCAGTGGAGATGAGAGAACAGTACCTGGCAGGCACTGTTTCTCTTTTACCAGATAGCTCCAAACCCACCCTTATCTACTGAGCACCTGTCAGGTTCCCACAGCCTTGGGGACCGCAGGCAAAGGTCCCTGAGACTTTAGTTAACACCAGAGAGAGAGTGCCGTGTGGACAGAGAATTGTCATTAAGACAGCACTGAAGTAGATCTATGACAACTGTCAGGGATCAGCTCAAGGAGGGAGAGGGGGACTCATCCTGTGCTGGGAGGCAGGGAAGCAGCTTTGGAAGAAGCCGTTCCTGCTCAGAAGCTATGACGAGCGCGAGCGTGTGTGTGTGTGTGTGTGTGTGTGTGTGTGTGTGTGTGTGTGTGTGTGTGTGTGTGTGTGTGTGTGTTGGTGCAGGCACTTTCTAGCCGAGAATCGGAATTTCAATCATGTATGTTAACTATTCGCACCTTCCAGTTCGTGCGTTCATACACATACCTGGCCACAGGAACTTGGCTGTCATCCCAGTGCAAAACATGAGACAGTGGGACTCTGCCCATGATTTACACAGTCTTAGGAAACTCATTCTATTGCACTGTTAGATGTTGCTTACTGTGACAACGCACAAGGTGAACTACACTTGATTGCGTGCCTATTTACACAGACAGGTACCCGTTCACAGAGCTTGGTGCCATCTAGGCTTGCAGACATCCACAGAGGTCTTGAATCATGTCCCTCGAGGTGAAGTATACAGGGTGGGGGTAGAGGGTGAGGGGATGAAAAAGGAGAGAGAGAGAAAAAGCAGGATATTACAATTGAGAGAAAGAGAGAGTTTACAGCTTCTACGCATGTACACAGGTTTAAGTATGCGTGTTTACATTTAAGTACAGGAAATATTGAGATCTTTAAAGTTATTTTTTTAATTACTAAAGCAACGTGATGAATTTACAAAGAGAACTGAGTTGAGCTGACCTTTTCTTTGTGAGTATGTACTTCCCTATTGGTCAGGTTTGTAAGTATCTACCAGGAGAACAGAATAATATTTTAGTGCCTATATACTACATGAAGTAAGGGAGACTGTTGTCTGTCTGCTATCCATTCACCTCTTTTAGACACACTCTTCAGAGCTAAAGTGTTTTATTTCAAGGAAGCGTAGAAGCAGGGCAGCTTCTCCAGCAGACCTCTTGATTGGCAAAGTTGGGAAATTACTCTGTTATCCATCCTATCTTGGTGAGTCCAACGTTTTATACCTAAACTGCTTTATTTCATAACTTGCATTACTATAAAAATATCTTTTTAGACCTTAAGGCATTTTCTAGATTAAGCTTTTATGTCTCCCAACCTTATAAACTTTGCATCTCTTTTGTAAGTCCCTTTTCTGAGTTTTCAAAGAAAACAGTATGACTATCTAGTCTTTAATCCTATCAGAAATCTATGAAGGATAAAATAGTACTTGACTAAACAGGAAGTGCAGAGCAAGCAACTTCCAAAAGCATAGAAACTACAGAGACGCTGGCTACCTCGACAGTTACCCAAGATTCCTCTGCATCACTCAGGCATCCATCTTTGTCTTACAGGCCCAGAATATCTGACATACTTTTCCATGACACAGGAATTTTGAAGGACTGACCTACCTTGTCTTGGCAAAGTTTGGCAGTCATCTTCTTTTGTAAGCAGATGAGGTGAGGGCAGTTTCTTGCCCAGTGGTTAATTTTGCCACAGTGAAAGCATATGGAGGTTCTTCGATGCCCATCATTCTTTTGTGAAGTAAAATGGTGCTGATAGGAGCAGATGTGTCTCAATGTCATGAAAAGCCCTATGTTACTAAAACATCTTAAATGCCATATTCTGTATGTCTCCAAAGTGTTTGAAGAACACCTATCTATCTAAAATATATACATTTGACCTTGAAAACATGACTATAAGTTTAATTATTATAGATGACTCTTAGCCTGCATTTCTTAATAATCCCAAATTGTTTGAAACAATACCTTTCAAGCACTAGAACTTTACATTACATTTTAAAGTGAGCTACATAGATACAACACCTTAAACAAAAGTAGAAGCATTTATATGTATGTTAAAACAAAAATAACCTTAAATTTGTATCAATATACAAATATCCACACCAGTGTAAAATATTTGCAATTAATAGTTGCTTTTTAGTTTAAAAATAGATTCAACAATATATCCTTTTTGTCATATCATTTCTATATCACCCTTTTCTTTCTTTTCAGAAAGAGATCCCTGAATCTAACCTCCTTCACTAATTTTTTCCCTATGATCAGTAACAGCTTGCAACTAACCCCCCTAAACAAAGACAAACATCCACAACCCATCAAATGACTAACCCCTATCACCTCTTGGGAATGTGGACATCATGTTCTTAAAATTACATCCTGTTGTCTGGGGGTGAAAACATCTTTAGGGGATCCTGAGAAAATTAAGTTAATGATTAAGTCCTGGGAGAGTAAGCTATTGTCCAGTCTCTGTGGGATGGGAAAACACAGAGCTTATCTGAAGTCCTGGCTGGAGTAGTCTATGAGGTTAGACCATCTCAGCTAGCTGGTTTGAAGTTGACCTGAATGCAGATTTTTGAGGAAACTCTAACAGGCATTCTGAGAGGTTGGATCACCTGGGCTACTTGTCTTCATTGGTGTCTAGTCCTTTTTTTTCTGAAAACACACAGACTTTTGAAAGGTAGCATTTATCCCTTGCATGAACACAAGTATGGAAAGTGTGGTATGCATAAGTCAGTTAAAGATGATTTTTTTAATTCTATGTCCAAGCCAGTGAAACGCATCTTTATAAGTCTGTTTGGACTACACTGCCAAACTGTAATATAAGTCTCTAGTCACGCCATATGAAAGGATGGCATGTAAATAATAAGTCATGAGGACGATGTAACAAACAAGGTTCATCATGTCTCATCCAGTCTCAGAGCTGTCCCCATGTAGAGGGATAGGCTTATATGTCACCTGTGCTGTAGTCTTTCTGTTCCTTCCTTCCTGTCCATAGCCAATTAAATCTGGTCCTTATTAATCTTGAAGGAGTCCATAGCTTTTTATTTCCTGTGGAAACAAAGGCATAACCTCTCCCCCAAGACAACGCATTTCTTGACTTCCACTCTGAAGTTGAGACACCCTTAAAATATATAGGCTGGTTTAATGTAGCAGGTTTTTTTCCCCTCCAATCCAATGTCTCTCAGCAGCATTTGCCTTTTGCTCATCAGCATTTAAAAAATTCCAAGTCAGCAAATACCATGCATCCTTATGTGTCTCATTTTTTATGTTACTTTTTATATTGCTTTCTCTTTAAAGATTTAATTTTAAACCCTTTATTTTTTATATGACTGTCTATACCCATTTCTTTTCTTTCTTTAGCACCTAAACACATTTTCCAAGCATACTGTATCTGTCCACATACCCACATACGGACACTCAGACAGACGTAATTAAAAAATTTTACATTCCCAATGGAATTAATATAAGCAAGCAGACAACGATGTGGTACTTTTAAATTATAAAAGAAAAAGGCACATCGAATAATTCTGTATCTATAAAATATATTATCAAAAATAAAGAAACTAAAGAGTTCTTTTTCTAACGTACGAAAGTGGGGAAAATCATCACTGGCACCCTCAGGCACAAGGAAAATGATACTAGATGAAATTATGAATCGTCACAAGGGATGAGAGAGTTAGTAATCATATAACTACATGATAGATACACTTTTTCCTACCATTTATTCTTAAATCTCATTGTTTAAACAAAAATTATTTTTAAGTTATGTGAGGTTTATGGCATGTAATAACAAAATGAGTTGGCGCCCAACTACCCTCTAAATATTTACGTTTATTCCCAGTGACAAATGCTGCTCTCAGCCTTCACAGGGAAGGAAGTTTCTCTGATTGCAGAAGTCACGGCTGCCCAAGTCGATGGGAATCGGTGACATCTCAGGGCTCAGCCTTTAAGAAGACAGACATTCGCCGTGTTCCCTGCCTGTGCCTCAGGGAGTGACACAGAAGAGGGAGCAGGAAGACTCTAAGAACCAGACTGTAGGGAGAAGGTCTGGGAAGAGCTGGCCTCTGGGCATAGCACAGCCATTGCGAACACAGTCTCACCGCAGCAGGGGTCGTGCCTGCACTGAGCCTGCCCAGTCTGGGCATGTCAACAACAGTCAGCCACGGATCTGGGAGGAGCTTATACATCGTCACTACCTCTTCCTGCTGAACTACGGGTACTGGTGGATTCTGGGGGAGGGACAGCCATCCGTCTTGAATGGTGTTCCCACTGGCAAACCACCAGGCTCCAGCAGGTAGCTCTAAACCGGTGATCACACAGAGTGTGGAAAGGACAGGAACGTGAGGAAGGGAACTGGGAAATTGGGGGAAGGAGGGGGGAACGGGGAGATGACAGGAGTTGGAGAGAGAGAAGAGAGGATGGGTAGGGCGAGCCTCAACCGGAAGCGTTGTGCACACGAAGAGATGTGGCGACCACAGAACCATTGTGGAATAATAGCAGCGCGAAGCATGATAAAGTTCTCACGCGAGTAGCAAAACACACGAATAAATAGACTGTGGTGAGTCAAGGGTGAACTATAACCCGTAACCGACCGCCCACTTGACAAAGTAAGGACTTCAAGCTATTAGCTAATAAAGAAGACAGTGAAACAAAAGTTTGCTCGGTACAAAATGAAACATAAGAAGGCTTTTTTGTTGTTGTTGTTTTGATTTTGTTTTTAACAGATAATCGGTAAGCCAAACAGGAACCAAGTACCAAGGTGGTAACGCCTAACACAGTTCACATTAATAACCAAATGAAGCGTGAATAACTGAAATAGCCTAAGGTGAAAAGGCAAAGACCTTGAAGAGCTGAGGGTGTAGTTCAGTAGGAGAAGGTTCCCCCCCTCCCCCCGGCTGAGGGTGTAGTCCCCCCCCCACTGTGTGAGACCCTGGCTTCCACCTCCAACAGCACAGAGACAAAACAAGACTCCTAAAATATCAGATAGACTAAAATTCAAGGATCAAATCATCGGCAACATGAAACACGGGCTTGCGTGCGATATAAATCAGGCGTGCGATGCAAAGGTAAAGGTGCATTGATTAGAAGAGAAATATTAGTGGGGGGAGATTATGACAAAGCCACACTAACACTGCTGAATCTTCGAGATGACCCCACAAATCCAGCATCACAGCTGAAACACCAGCAGTAACTAATAGAAACAGGTGTTGACAGGGAAAACCTGACCAACGCTGTAAGGATATCCTGGTTGACACAGGCCACTCAAGGAGGCTTGCAGAGAATAATTACCAACATGGATTCTGCCGTGAGCAGAAGTCAAAGGACGGAAGGCACTCCAGGTGTTGTCTCTGACCCAACTGAGAACAACAGAGCATTATCTGGAGGGAAAGGATAAAAACTTAATGTCACGTCCGATGAGCTGTAAGTAATGAAACAATTTCTAGTCTTGGTACTCAGGGCAGTGGGCCCTAAGCCAGTGAGACCCCATTTCTCACACCTCTATAAGCACACATTTCAAAAGCCAGAAGGAGCAGGTTCTAGTGAGAAACCCCCACGTAGTATCGGGGGATTCCACCTTGGTTCAACCACACTGGCAGCAATCTATAGAGCGGATGCTGGGGAGGAAGCTTGTTGGGCCTAAGAAAGGCTTGGATGTGAGGCCCAGTGTAACCTCCTAAGCCTGACTTGAATTTAGGGCTCAGATGTGAGGCCCAGTGTAGCCTCCTGAGCCTGGCTAGAGTTTAGCGACCTGTCTCTAACCTGTAACCTCCACATGGGGGTGACTCAGCCAGATCTAATGCAAGATTGCCGCCTGCCTAGCTACCTGCCTTCTTAGTGGAATACTATCTGAGATGGGGCTTGGCAGTGCTTTCCATAGTCAAGAATTTCACTTTTTGGGGGGGGGGGGGCTTCTGCTGTGAATATTTAACTCAGCTACAACAAGGAAACACAAACAACAGTCGCAGCTGCATGCCAATCAAGCGTTATTTACAAAAATAGGCAGCAGGCTAGAACGGGCCTGTCGATTTCCTGACCCTTAATACAACGTGTTAGTCACAGATTTATGAGTGTGTGACGAGGAAGCGATTAAGGAGCATACACATATCCATATGTGCACACACTTACACACATTCGTTGTGTGTGCTGTGTTTCAAAGCCAAAACTCTAAAACATACCATTTCAGCATCTAAAATAAGTCGATACTTGGTGTATATATTAAGATTCCCCAAGGGTACCTGGCCAATGCCACGCACTACACAGCCTTGGGACACAGCGGTGGCATCCATAGCTGGTGGGACTTTTGGGTTCTTGTTTCTCCGTGACCCTAGTATAAGCAGCCATTCTCCCAGTAGATTCTTTGGGCCCCGCATTCTGCTTGGGTATCCCTGTCGCCCCTCTACGCAGAAGCCGCCACCCACCCTGTCATCGGCAGCTGCTCTGGGCTACCTCACTGTGGCATCTGAAATTGAACTTGTTTCAAGTCAGTCTGAGACTCTACCTCACCGTTTTGTCCCCTTGAACGAACTGCTCTCAGTCTCTGGGTCTGCCTCTTCGTCCGGCAGTGGGTGTAGGACATGACTGTAGATTTGATCTCACGCTTGCAGCCAGTAATTAATTTAACACATACAGCGCTCAGAATACCTCCCGTGTTGGTTTTAGTTATTGCTATTATCAAAGGATTAAGTTGATTGCGTTACTTTCACATGTTTAACGCTGCTTGCTTTCACTCCAGTGATACTCCCTCTTAGAAACAGTGACCTCTGTTGAAAATTTGAAATATAACCTAGAATAATTTGGGCTTTATTTTCACGAGTGTTGCCCTGCTCCCTGCCCTCTTCATTTCTTATTTTTCTATTATTGTTCAGCACAAGTATGATAAAAATTACCCACATCTGTTATTTATCTTTCTGCCCGGGGCAAGGCAAATGTGTATAGTTCTCCTCAAGATAACAGGAACCATATGGAGCCAATGGAATTATATATATTATCAGTTTACAAATTTGAATTTTTCCAAAGATTGTCCACAGGCTGCCCTGGGTTCTTGGGTGTAAGAGTTTACTCTGGCGTGTTTATACTCAGCAAAGTGTCAGTGTGAAACACACTTGCAGCCACCACCTCCCTGGTGAGGGTTCACTGTGGTTTGCTGTGGGTTCTGGGATTTTGCACCTTAGTGTTGCCTTGCAGGCCAGACCACACCCCAGTGGCCAGGCCACACCCCACCCAACATAAGTTAGGATCTGCGGAGTAGGAGCAGCGGTGTCAGATTTTGTCCTTTTGCTTTTTTGGTTGTTGTTGTTGTTCCCCCCCAGATAATACGATTGTTAGAAATGCCCCACCCAGATAATACGATTGTTAGAAATGCCCCACCCAGAGCTTCAGAACTGAAAGGGGGAAAATAAAGAGTCAGTCGGTTTTGGTCACTGCATGGGGAAATGCTCACATTGAAACATAGTAGTTTTGGCAGTGATTTTGTGTTCTAATTACATCATACATACATATATCTAATAAAAAAAGCTTATTCAAATGCCAATTAACTCTAAAGTGATGGCCCTCAAGAATGTAAGCATTGAGTTGACAAGGCCCAGAGAATTCAATCTTGCCTATCAGAGAGAGAGAAGAGAGAGAGAGAGAGAGAGAGAGAGAGAGAGAGAGAGAGAGAGAGAGAGAGAAGAAACTCAATCCATTCATCCAATTTTCAACTCAATTGCTATTCATTCAACAAGTTCCGTCCTGGACTTAACACAAGCTTTGTATCTGTCACCCTTAATCATATGCAGTTGGCCTTCAAACGGAGACCAGAAAGTGACCCAGGAGTTACGTTCCAGACACCAGCTGGCTCCAATTCGGCGTCCTAGAGGGAGCTGAGCCCAACAGTGGGTCACTTTTCAGAGGATGGCCCTGTGACGCCGCTCCGAGGACAGCCTGCTTTGATCTCCAGTGGGCATTTTCACCCTCGTGGAAACCTCTGGGGCCATAGTCCCTGACAATGGGTCTCAGTGTCTATTAAAACCTTTTTCCCAAGCTGTCTCTCCCTGCAGAGGAACAATGAAGTATTTGAAATCTGACCCGCAGCCTCATTGCCTTCCAAAGTCAGGGTCCTCATCTCCAGTTTTTGAAAACCTAGTTTTTAAGGTTTCAGTACACACACATATTAAGCATACTCCCCGCTTCCATTTCTTACCTCTGTCCCGTTTAAGCCACCTTTGTCTCCCCCAAACAGCTTTTCTTCAGTTAACTTTCTTTGAAATTAATCTTCCATTCTCTGAGGATAGTACACATGTGTACAACGAAATATGGTTATACTTGGCTGCCTTTTCCCCCCTCCCCTTGCTCTGTAGCTTCCCAACACCTCCGCCTCCTAAGTCAACGTCTTATTTTATATTTTGATAGACAGCCAAGTTCAGGTAGCGCTGTTCAAAAATGAGCATGGGTACTGGGCCATCCATTAGGGCATGGGGGAGTCTGCCAGGGGCCACATCCTTAAAGAATGGTCTCACTGCCTCCTCAGCTGTCAACAGTCAATGACGCCTCAGCTCGGGACAGGCCTATCACTCATCCAACCATCTATGCTAGGGTTTTGGCTGGCTTGGTCTCATGCCTGTTATGGGAAGACAGCCGTTACCATTTACGTCTATGAGTTCATGAGGGCTACGGCCACGCCCTGTCCAGAAGACAGCACTCCACTGTCCTCTCCCCATCGTACAGCCCCTACATTCCTTATGCTTCCTCTCCCATGGTGGTCCCTTAGCTTTGGTGCCAGGGAGGGTGATACAGATGCCACAGTCCTTCCATCTCAGCACATCGACCAGCTACAGATGCCTGCATGAACTGACTGACAGAGACTCTTCTCCCGCCAAGGTCTCTTAACTCGTGCAATGATGGCTAATCTTCGTTGTCAGCTTGACATACCTGGGACAGCGACTTATTTTCCTGTGCTTAAAATAAATGAAGAAGAAGAAGAAGAGGAGGAGGAGGAGGAGGAGGAAGAGGAGGAGGAGGAGGTCCAACTTGGCCTCTTCTCTCTGAATGTCACATCCCCTGGCCTGAAGTACACAACTACAACACTTCCTACTCAGAGACAACCTCTTGTTCGGGACTGTCAAGCATTTCATGAGGATATGCAGTTCTAATAATTTCCCCAGGTGCCCCAAGCCTCACGGGGAGTTGGAACTTTTCTGGGCAGTATGCCAGTTCAGACTGCACCCTGCTTCGTCACCCTCCCCTTCCTGCTAGACAATGAGCTGAGAGCCACGTGCCTGCCTCTGAGGCCCGTCTGGGAAGTCCTTCTCTAGGAAGCTGGGCTCTGCTGGGGGCTACTCCTACCAGAGGGCTTCCCTTTTCCCTCTCCCTCTTCCCCACCCCACTCCCTTTACCCCCCCTCCTTTTTTTTTGGTTTTACGAGACAGGGTTTCTCTGTATTGTTTTGGAGGCTGTCGGCCCAGCCCGGCCTCGAACTCACAGAGATCCTCCTGCCTCTGCCTCCCGAGTGCTGGGATTAAAGGCGTGCGCCACCACCGCCCAGCTTATCCCCCTTTTTTCTGTTCCTCCCTTTCAAGCTCAAACCTCTTCAGTGATCTAGTTGCGATGATGACGGTGGCTGGGTTTTGAAATGAGAAGGATTCAGACATGAACTCCAGCTGCTCTACATTTAGGTCTCAGTGGGTTTATCTCCAAAGCAGCTGTGCCAACGGGGACTGAACACACAGAACTGTAACAAAAACCACCACAAGTGTGTGTGCACCCGAGGTCACAGCCCCGAGGAGGCTGAGGGAGGAAGGAGCCCTTGGATCAGAGAGGTTCGGCCCAGGGTCGACGGCACCGCAAGACCTCAGGTATAAAGAGACAGATAAGTAAGTAAATAAGTGAAGAGTAAAGGAGACAGCACATTTAAAACATTTAGGGCAGAGCCTGGAATATGGAAGTTACTGAAGCCATTGCTGTTAGTAATGCCCGTGTTGTTCAGGCTTGGTCATTCCCAAGCTCACACTGTTGGGTGACAGCAAGAGCTGTTTGCACACACCTGTTCACACGTCTTCTCTGCTGGGTTCTCCGAGCCCCACGACCACAGGGACTGGTTCGTTTGACCTTGCTTTCGGCACGCAGCATAAGGCTGGTGAGTGTTGGCGGTACTTGGAGGAACCACGTTGACACACAGCTACCTTTTCAGACTTCCAGCCTCTAGACAACTCATCCACAAACACCACTGAATAAAGCACGGGCTCTGCCGCAGTGTCCTTGTCTGTGGACAGATCTAAACTCCAGCAAATGTAGTCAAAAACAGAAGAAAAGTTGATGAGCTCGCCGCCTGGGAAACAGACAATGGCTTGGAAGCCCATAGAATGGGATGATCTGTTTACTTTTGAGCAGCATTGCAAGAACTTTAAGATGCCAACCTTGTGTAGGGAGGAGGCCCTGAAAATCTCCAGGTGGGACTTAAGGGCCCTGGTGTCAGTCCTTAATTCCCTCATGGACATGAGTGATCTAGCATTCCCGATGCATCCTGGATGTCAAGTGTTTGCTGGGTTCTCTGCAGGTGTCATTTCCAAATCTTAATGTGGTCCTAGGAGCAGTGATGCCTTTAATTACAGCTAAGAGACTATTTAAATTAATTGGTTGCTTAAACATTGAGTGTTTCATAGAGAAGAAAATGAAAAGCAACAGCTCAGGTCTCACTTAGCACTTCTGCAATGGCACAAAAGACCCAGGCTCTTCCCCAGAATCCCTCCTGCCATCAGCAGCACACTGGTTTGTAGACGGAATTTTCTGTCCCACCCGTTACTGCAGCTGTTTAGTCCCAAATAAGCACACAGAGGCTTGTATTAATTATAAACTTTTGGGCAGATGGCTAAATTATTAACACATTCCTATTAATGTGTGCATCTCCACATGGTCTTGGATTATCAGAGAATTCTCAGGCATCCTACCTTCCCAGTAGCTACATGGTCTGTCTGTCTGTCTGTCTGTCTGTCTGTCTCTCTCTCTCTCTCTCTCCTCAGCATTCTCCTAGTCTGCCTATACTCCTGCCTGGCTACATCCTGCCTGTCCATTGTCCAAAACAACTTTATTCATCAAACCATAAGACAAACATATATTCACAGAATACAGAAGGACGAGCCCCATCGCTGGTCTCCATTCTTATATGCATCACCTCACAGATTCAAGAGGGCTGCAAACTCTCCTGATGCCACGCCCACCAAAGCAAGGGCCCAAACCTTTCTCCTCTTACAACTTCCATCTCCCATTCCTAGAGTTCATGTTTGTGCTCATATTAGGACAACCAGTAATGAAGAAAGTAGGGCGTTATTATTATTATTATCATTATTATTATTATTATCATTATTATTATTCACTGGGCTAGGATCATCGAGATCGAGAGACCGCTCCAAGCTACCTGGACACAATATCTGGGTTATCTGTGCAGAGAAGGTGATGCTGATGGCCGGAGCAGGAGCCATTGCTAGAATACCTGTTTAATGATTGCAAGGCTCTGGTTGAACCTCCAAAGCCTCGAAACGAGAACAAACAAGACCCCGAGTAGCTGCTTGGCTAACGATGAACAGATCACAGTGTTATCACCAGCTGGTAGATCAAAGAGATTCGACCGTGCCATTGGCATTCTGTGCACGGTCACAAGCAGGACAGAGATGGCATCTTCAGTACTACCTCCAAAAAAAGCAAGCAACAATAAAAGACTTAAGGATGAGAAGAAAATGGGCTAATTCCTTAAGATCAGAGATGAGGGCATTCCAGAAAAAGGGGGGGGGGGGGATAAAGAGAGAGAAAGGTGAAGAGAGATTATTTTTCAGATTCCTGTGGTAAGCTAAGGCAATGTGTTATTAGCACTGTGTAAGATGTAGCACAATCGACCACAGGGAGGGTCCCCGGAAGAAGTCAGGTGAGACCCGGCTGCCTGCGGGTCACAGTGAGTCAGCACAGCCAGCGAGCACCTTTGCTTGCTCTGCTATAGCTCTGTCCTTTCAGGCATAAGAACAAAAAGTTGACACCAAACACCATCAACTGCCAGGTCCAAAGCCAATTGAAGGGTTTCTGGGCAGGAAGACGCGGACCCACGGGTGCCCCAGCAGGAAGACGCGGACCCACGGGTGCCCCAGAATTTCCCCAGCAATGCTTCAGGGGTCGGAAGATCCGGTTTGCCATGGCAGCTTTGCACTTCCTGTCAGCTGTCGAGGGCTGGCTCTTCTCTTGTCCTCCATGTTTGTTCAAGACGTGCTAGCCAGGTTGGCCCACTGAGGGTTTGCAGGCAAGGCAAAGTCAGCACGCTGGCAGCGTGTGGTAGGCTGGGGGGTGGCTATATTGGCTTTCCCTGAATTCTTGTTGGGTTGGCACATCCCTGCCCGCCAGATCAAAACCAAGAAGCGGGCTGCTCCAAGGCCTCTGTGGTCCCGCCTGTGAGTGGAGGTGATGAGTGAAGACTGAAGACGCCTCTAAACATTCGGCAGTATCAGACACATCCTGTGCGGGATACAGCAGGTCAGACTTCTCCGCTGTGGCTGAGGAGCATGGCTGCCCACTGTGTCTGGTGATTAAGCAAATGTACAGACACTTCTAAAACTTCCTGGGGCCGGGATTGGAGCGATGGAGAGGTGGGGATGGCGTCATATATTTTATGAGAGGTTCAAATTGATCCAGATCCGATTGGAACCATTTCCCAAAGATGCCAAAAGGCAAGGAAGCAGCAAAAAGACAGAAACGACCTCCGGCAGCCAGCACAGGGGCACACAGTACTCATACACAGCATTTCCTTTGTCCAACTCCCCTCATTCTCTGGTTCTCATCCACAGCCGCTGCAGGAAAAGCCTTGGAGACCTTGGGTGATCACAGGCTAGGGTAGCATCTCCCTGGTTTTTGACTCTGCAGCAAATGGGAATGCCATTTACTTACATCCCCAGGCGTGTCTGCACCAGATACAGCTGTGTCTACCCAATGAGTATTTCTATGTGCAAGCTGCTGCTGCTCCCCCTCTTTCCCTCCTCCCCCTTCATCATTCTCTCTCTCTCTCCTCTCTC